GGCAGTGGTGAGGCGCGCTTCTTGGGGTAGGGTCGTTCTCTCTGGACTTTCCGCGTCTGCCGCCTCTGCCTGGTCCCAGGCCTAGCTCTGGAGGGGTGAGGAGGAGCCTCCTGCCACAGCCAGGCCCGGTCTCTCGTTAAGACGAGGAGATGCTCTGCCCGCGCACTGGTGTTTAGGCTGATGTAAATCCAAACGCGTTCCTGCTGTGGGCTTGCTTTGTTCTCTGTGCTGGCGTTCTGGTTTTAGGTGAGGGTAGCGTAGTCGCTGGCACTTTGCCTACTGGTTGTTTCTCTGTAGTCTGTAATGCTTCTAGTGACCTTTGTTGAAAAGCCTGGGTTCCTATTAAATTGTCAGGTAAATATAAGTAAGCGAAGTAATATATTTATCTTCCCATATGTACTCTTTATATTTAATTTTTAAAATGGGTATCCTTGAGTGAAATCAGCAAATCAGCGCTTCTACTTTTGCATTACTAGTTATCCAACCTAGCCTTTTTGTGTTATTTAAAGAGTTTCAGCTGCCTTTTCTCGCAGCACGGAGGGCAGGGCCGTGTGGGGGGCCTGAGGTGGGCTTTGTCAGGGGAACGGGGGCCTGTGGGGTGTGCTGGGGCCACGGCCTGAGCAGCAGCAGTGAATTGAGTTTGCCACCATCCTTTTAGTTTCTTTTTTTTTTTTTAAAGTAGTGTAACTTGTAATCTTTAAACCTTTTATATGTTATAAGACAGAACAAGAAGGCAAACAGACCCCCCCCTGTTTTTTACACCGTACAGTAAATGATTATTACCTGTAAAACTAGCATAGCTGTAGAGCTTAGACTGTTGTGGAAGTCAGATCCTTGACTTTGAGTTTTAATAACTGTGGTTTCATTCTGTTTTTCTAGACCCAGTAGGGAAAAAAATTGTTTTACAGCATTTAGGATTTCTGTGTTGTATATACTTTGTAAATCCCTTCAGCTGGGGTCAATGTTTAGCTGCTAAGATACCAAGTCTTAAGGAAGTCTACAGCATGTGAAGGTGCTAACAATACATGAATATAAATTTAAACACGTAAAGGAGAAAAACAGGAGAAAGTTTCAACTTTAGACTTGACTTGAAAACAGGCGGACATTCGTCTGGTGAAAGGGGTTGGAAATATTGTGTTGTTTTCTAGGTCAGGACAAGCTGTTCTTTAAAGATGGAAGTTTACTATGAGGGCAAGTTTGTCAATGGAGAAATTGTGGGGAATGGATTTCAATACTGGACATTAACAGGTGAGCCTGTAACTATTACATACCTTTTTTTAAAAAAAAAATGCCTATCCCCTTAAATTCTGATACATAAGTACATATCATAAGCAGCCAAACTGATTTAGTCCAAGTTGTCAGACTTCCGTGATGTTTACTGAAGAGTTGTGGCTTTCATGTTTTCTTGTTGGCCTCTCAATTTAGGCTGGGTTAACTTCCAATCACCTCAGAAAGTTAATCAAATATGTTAATGGTAGAAACCAGAAACATGTGTCATCAATTTTTGCTAACAGTCTCAGTCCTTCAAAGATTCCCACATGTGCAGACTTGGGCTCATATGAAGTGCTCCACAAGATCAGGCCAAAGATGTTAAAGGATTCAAAGAACTCGAATAAACTATCCATTATGGAGGGACATCTCATGTGTGATTTACTGAGGAAACATTTCAATGAATTCCTCTCTCTGCTAGCATCCAGAGAAGAAAGTCGTTGATTAAAGATCTGTCTCAGTAAGTTGCTCCAGAAAAGAATTTCTTCTTCTGTTTCTGTTTATTCCTGTACAAGTAAATCGGTTACTTCTCTACCTGCTTAGCCCTTTTGGTCAACAGTCTGTAAGGCTGACATGAAATAAAGGGTGACCACATGGAATACAGTATGAGTATATCGGGTACTTGACAGAAAAATAGTTGTGTCATTCTGAGATCACACATACATCAGGAAATTCACAGTTCAGTATTTCTAGCGTGAAGCAGCTGATCTTTCAGGCCTTGACACAGAATATGTGAATGAGTACATGCCATCAAAAAGCTGTTAAGGTGGCTATGAATTTCAAGTACTTCTTTTATACATTCC